TAGCGGAAAAACGAGAGCAAGCGATGAAACGACAGAAAATTTGGCTGAAAAATCAAGAGGAAAAAAAGAAACGAACCATACAAAATAAAACTATCGCAAAAAAAAATTTAGATCGAAACAAAATGATTGTCGAAAATGCAAAAAATCCCAAGCAAGTATCTTCGTTGAGTTTTGCGTCACAAAAACTGAAATTTGCTGAATATTTACGAAAAGAATTTGAATCAAACATAATTTTCACTTTGAATCAGTTAGAACTAATTTCTGTCTACATGGGATTCAAGAAAAACATCAAAGCAATAATCGATGTCCTGAACGTCGAAGGATTTTTAATTAAAAAACCCCATGATACTTATCTATTTACTGGTTAGATTTTTACTCGAAAAAATGTCATTCGTTGTTCCATTATCCTACAAAAAAAATGTAAACTTGATTTGATCACTGAAATAAAAACACATACAAAACCAAATAATATTTATACATTTTTTGAAGCAACGAATATCTTCTTTTCCATCATCACACTCGATTTTTTACACAAATTTAAACTATTTTATAATTCATTTTTTATAAAAACTAAGAGTTTTAGGTATAAGCTGCGAACCGAAGACATCAGTTGATTGAACATTTGTAAATTGAAAAGAAAAAAAGTATAAATCAAAAAAATTCGAATTGGATTTGTGAGTTCGTAGACCCATGGACACAAATCTGTATGAATTTGTAGTTAAATGTTTAATGCGGTTGATTTAAATCTTTTTTTTTTGTATTTTATTTGTGTATATTTCCATTGTTATTATTTATAATAGTGTGTGTTTGTGTGTGTGTGTATGTGATTAAAAAATAGAATGTTTTTGTGTGTTTGTGTGTTTGTGTGTGTGATTAAAAAATAGAGTGTGTTTGTGTGTTATCCAAAAATGTGCTTAAAAGCATCACGAAAGTGTGCCACCGGATAAATCGTGATTGAATCGGGCACATTTTCGGGAATATCAACACAATTATTCATCGGAATGAGCATTTTTTTGATTGTGTCACTCGAGGCGGCAGCTTGAATTTTTTGCTTCAAGCCCAACACTGTATATACATTGCCATGGATATCAACCTCTCCGGTGGAAGCCCATTCCTTCGGAATGGGCCTTCCGGTGACGAGTGAAACGATAGCCAGTGCAGCCGCTAGGCTAGCACTACCTCCGTCTTTTCGTACCCGAAAATCGGGTACATTAAAATGAAGAGATCGAGTGAGTGGGGTAAAGTGTTTCTCATTCAAAAATTTCATCGCGTACTGTGTGGCTACAGTCATCGAATCACGCATGCCTGCTTCTACATGACCAGTGAAACATTGGTTTATGAAATTCTTTTGACCTCCACGGAGGTCGAAGTCTACGTTCAATGTGCATGCAAATCCAGCGCTGTTCAGAATGTTGGCGAACCCGGGCTGTTCGATGTATTTGGGGCCGATCAATCTGATGGCAATATCGACCCCATCTACATCGAACAGCCTTCCGACAACCACATTCCGATTCTCGCGCTCGATTTGGACATTGAACATGTTGCGGATCATTTCAGATTTTAAATACGCTTCAATCTCCGCATGATATGGTGAAGCCATATGTTTTGTGTTGGTGATCACCATTTTTTTTTCAAGCTGTTCACCATTGAAGCGGATGAAAATCGTCGAATGGTCTTCGACTTTTGTCACCTCGGCGGATCGCTTTTCAACTGAAAGCTTCAACGCGTTTGTTTCAGTCATTGCGATGTAATTCTTTTGTTTTTCTTTTTGGTTTGGGTTGTATGGCGAGGCTGTTAAAAAACAACCATTAAATACAACATTCGGAATCGCTTTCAATGCCGCATTTGCATCATTTACCGTATGGTATATGACAAAAAACACAACAGGGTCTTTTTTTACTAAGCCCCGTGTGAACTTAATATCCAAAAACCCTGTTGTGTCATTCGGTCTTACAAATACCTCGCGCAATTTTGTGAAATCATATGGTTTTCGGATGTTTCCGATCACAATTGTGCGAGGTATTTGTAAGACCGAAGGTCGAAAAGGTTCGCGTTGATTACCTTCAACTTTAGCTGTTTCACTTTCACTCTTCTTGTTATATGGTAAAACATTTAGTTTTCTACCATTCCATTCTTTACCATCTAATTTATCGATGAATGAATTTATGTTATAGCCTAACTTACAAACTAAAAACAATGTCATTGGAATCGATTGCCATAGAACATGATAATATTCAACACGTATGCTGCAGACTTGTTCGACGAATACAATGAACGCTCCAATTTCAAGCGGCGGGAAAACATTTTTAATACAAACTGCTCGCCTTTCGTCACCTGCAGCAGGATTGAATTTGTCTGCCTGAAATGAATTTAAAAAAACAAAAAATGCATTGAAAAAAAAAATAATATAAACATTCACATAATTTTTTACACATACATCTTTTACTTTGTCAATTGTCCCACTTGCCCCCATATATTTAGATTTAACAGAGGAGAATAGTGTGGTGTACCACTGGTCGAGTCGCGAAATGCTATCGTAATCCTTGATCGCATCGGTGAATCCTTCAATGTTTGTTTCTTCTAAATGCTCGCAAAGTGTCTGGAATGAGTGCCAATAGACAATTTATCATTAGGTTAATTGAAAAATCAGGAAATGTGTCATTTGCCCGAGGTAATTCCAAAGATAAATCATTTCTGAGTTCATCAACAGACACAAACCTTCACTAATTTGTATTCGCGTGAATCTTGGAACGCCGGATATTGCTGTGCATATTTTTCGAGAGCGTGCTGAGCATTCAACAAATCCACACTGAGATGACACAAAGCAGCACGGAAAAAATACTCATTGGCGCGGTATTTCAACAACGAACCATCCAAACATGAGCTGGCAACCTACAATGAAACAACACAATGTTTTTCATAACGGATAAAATATGAATGAAAAAAATGCCATAATAATAAAAAAAAAATCTGGACGAGTCATTACTTGTTCATAGATTTGAATGGCTTTCGCATAGTATTCGAATTGGACAGCATACTGGTTGATTCTTCGCCTTTGAAGTAATCGGCAGCCTGTTCGTAGTGTTGAACAGCGCGAGACTGGAAAGGAAGAGATGGTTTTTTAATTAACATTTTTTAAACTTAAATTCATTCCAACATAAGCGTGTCAAGCAAATCAATTCCATTCTTACCAAATCATTTGCTTCGCCCTCATACAATTCAGCAATAGTTTGATGATGTTTGGCGGCCATGGTGAAACGGCCCATATCCGTGTAGATTTCAATAGCTTTTACCAAGCAGTTAACCGATTCTTGTACATCAGTTTTCTTGTAGCAATTCGAAGCGTCCACGTAATTAGTGGCTGCATCATGACGGCTACCAGCCTTCGAATACAAGTTGGCTGCTTCACAGAAGACTTTTCCAGCTTCCATCAATAAATCGGTGGCTCTTTGGTGACAAAGCGATGCTTTTTTGTTGGAAAACATCATATCCAGAACTTTTCCACTGAATGTGCTCGAATCGTGTATCATAATGTTGTGATCGGCGCTGACAACGGCAAATTGTGACACTTTTTTGTTGTACAACATTTGAGTGATGGCCAATCCTTCTGTTTCGTTTGCCTTTGACACCAAACTATTCTCTTGTTCATATACTAAACGTGCTGTGTTCATTTCCCATATCTTAATCGCTCCACCTTCACCGGCCGAAGCAGCGTAGATTTTGTCATCAGCGAATTTGACACCAGCTGGTAATTTGATGTTATTCGGCAGTACGATGGCACTCTCGATGGTTTCGTAAACTGGCACAACACGAATTTGTTCATATGTCTGCAAATCCCACAAAATCAACACTTTATCTCGGCTTCCCGACACCAAAAACTTGCCGTCCGCGCTGAATGACAGCGATGTCACCTTTGTCATGTGCCCAATCAATGTGCAAACCATTTGTTGTGTGTCATAATTCCAGCCGTTGATTTTATTGTCATTTGCTGCAGCGAAAACTGTTCGATTTGTTGGTTGTGGATTGAATTTCAATACACTCAAAACACTGCCACATCCTGGTAGGTTGGAAACGAGGGCACGTTCTTGCCATCGCCAAATCCGAACCGTTGAATCAGAAAACCCGGCGGCAATCAGTGACGCATCTACATTGAATTCTAGCTGTGAAATCAGCCCATTTGCTACGGATTTCCATCCCGTCACAACTGACCCATCGTTTGTCTGCCACAATTTAATCGAGCGGCTCTGATAGGCGACACAGAGTAACTCGTCGTCATCGCTCAATGCAAATGTGTAAATCGCATCTTCCACAACAGCCCCTTCATTGATTTGCTCACCAATCGATTGAATCACTTTGTTATCGGCGACGGAAATTATGTTGATTTTCTTTTGGTCTTGGCAGTAGATTTTCTCCGCGTCTGATGTCCATTTGACCAAACCACCCGTGTAAATTGCACCATACTCTGATTCCACCTCAAACCTAAAATAAGTGAAAATTTTCGTTATTTCCAATGATATATTTAACAAATTTTGATTTTATTCAATAAAACATACGCTTCTTTGAGCTTATGCTTGCTAGCCATGATTATTCCGGTGAATTTTTGTCGATTTATTTGTTGAATCGTGAGAATGTTTACCGTACACTGCTCAAACTCAAAAGAACACCACGTGCGAATGTCAAAGCGACGTTTTCGTCTTGCTGAACTTCGCGTTTGACAAGTGACGTTTTGGCGTTCAGTTCCATTGTGAATGAGCCGTAAAGTGAACGATAACATTTTCGTCTTTGGTTATAATTCATCTTCAGAAAAAAAATCAAAACAAAATGATTCGAATAGCCGGTACTCAATTTTCTAAAATTAATTCCCATTCGAATCACACATTACATAGTGTTAGGACAATATGTGTGAATTCATGTGTGCAGTTGAGTAAATCGAAATCCGAGGAAGTGGCGGAGAAGAAACGAAAAGATAAGGACATGAGATGGACGAAATTCTCGGATTTTACGAATGCAATTGCGCCACATGCAAGTGTAATCGATTTCACCAGTTTTTGATCGTGGTGGCTCTTTGTAATAAGTGCTAACATGACCGTGTCCTTCCGAAATGCAATGCTCAACACAATCAATTGGATCTTCGAATTGATAATCGCATGTGTCCCAGCAACATTCAAAAACTTGATTTGGTACTGGATCGGCGGTCAAGAATGATTGGAACGTTTGTGGTTGAGGAACTGGACTCGAGCAACCATGCTCTTCAGCATATTTAGCAGCACTCTCTTCATTCGATCGAGATGCTTTCTCTTCCCAATATTGTTTTTCTTGTGCCGTCATATTTCGCCATTCATTTCCAACCATACGCGAAATATCACCGAATGAACAATCTGGATTATTTGCCGCACGATCTTTACGCACTTCACTCGAATACACGATATAACCAGTTACGAGTTTTCCTTTATATTTTGGTTTTTTCGTTGATACTGGTGTGCTGAGATTTGTGCTCACTGACGACGATATTACTGGCGCCACTTCTGAACTGGTTGATGGCAAATCTGGCACATCAATTGAATCTTCATTCATTCCAAGCACATCTGAATTCTCGGCCTTCACATCAGGATCATTGTTCACTTTAACTTGCTCCAAAGCAGCTATTTCAGTTGCGCTCACCTATATTTCATTGAATAAGATTAAATCATTACATGTTTGAACGAGTTTTTGTCTAGTGATGTCTTCATCAATTGAGTAATCATTTCAAATTAACTAAATCACATGAATTTACCTTGATTGGTGTGATTGGATTTTTGAAGTGATAAATTTCGTCTGGTGTAACGAGTTGGCTGTGTGCGAATTTTCGTAGCCCTTGACCCTGAACATTTTTTCGGATTTGCTTCTTGCTTTCATCGTATGTTGATTCACATACATAAACGTCACTCTCTGGTATTTCCGTCGAGCGAACTGTTTGCCAAAAAGAATTTCATTAATATTTAGTTGTTTTACATTTTAATAGCTTAGAATTTCAATTGAACTCACTTGAAACGTATTCGTTGTATTCCAAAACTGAACATCGGCCAACAACAGCAATTGTTGGACTGATGTCTTGTGTTGTCGACAGCATCAATTCTTGACGATAGAAGAATCGATTTGCTGCACCTGGCACTTCTGGAGGTAACAAAAGCCATGGACCTTTGATGTATGACTTTCCACTGAAAATTGAATAAGATTTGAATAAAATTTCGAACTTTTTCAAAATACTTTTAAAATTTGGTGAATGAACTTACTCTTTTGTATCCCAAATGCTCTGAACTTGTGCGATGGATTGTTTTCCGGTATCAGTTGCAACGTAAACAAAGTCACCACTTTTGATGACACCATTTCCAACAATGTTGTATTGTTCATAATAGTTATTACCGTCGTCGGTTGACATAGGCGATAAAGCCAAAATATTCTACAAAAATGATATTCAATTGGAAAATTAATACAGATTCGATATAAATGATTTTTTTTAGATTTCTTTTCGTATTTTCTTGCATAAAAAAAATGTTTAAAATCATACCGGTTTTTCTTTTTCAACGAGTGCCTCTTGTAATTGCAATTCAGCCAATTCTCCTTTGTGTTTTTCAACGCGTTCTTTGAACACGGACATAACACGTTTTGGTTCAAGTGGTGTTTCACGTGTAACCAATGGTGTTGTATTCATGAATGGCCAATTCTTAATCTTTTTGAATGCACGCAATTTGGTCGAATAGCGTGATTCACACACAAAAATATCCTTATCTGTGTATCCATCGGGTTTTAGTTTGAAATAATCTTTGGCACTCATGACAAAGCATTTATTTCCCAAACGGCTTAGCGGCATTGCCTCATGCTGATCGCTTTTAAATAATTCTTGTTCTAAGAATTTTCGTGTTGTCACATGATACGTTTCAAATGGTCGCAAGAAAGTATTGCCATACATCATTTGGACACCTTCTTGGTTTGTCCATAATCGTTCGATGTAAATGACACCGGGAACTGAAATGAAAGAAATTATGAAATATTGAAATAAACGGTGAAGATTCGATGTGATAAATTCGAACGAAGCCAATCCAAGCTAAAAGTCAAAACTTACGTTTGTTCTCTGGCACATCATAATATGCAAAATCGCCTGGTGAGTAAACTTTCTGATCAATTGTCATGCTTTCACCGTGCATCGACTGTAAAAAAAAGCAAACAAATTAGTAATTTTTCTCAAATCAGAACATTTGAAATGACAAAAGTGTTCGAAAATTACCATATCGTTTTCAGTTTCTTGCTCTTGTTCCTCTTGTAAAAGTTTTGTTTGACGTATTGCCTCGACCGATGCACTCAAATGCATGGCAGTGTAACTGAGAGCTGGTGATGTGAGCAAATCTTTGCATACTTCATCACGTTTACGAATGAAAAATGCTTGTAATTCAATGGAATCTTCAAAGATTTGAGAATCGGTACGAGACAAACGACGAGCACGATCCAAACAAGTGAACACATCTTCTTGGAATGTATCCAATCGTTTGTATAATCATTTATCCAAACGACGTTTGATTAAATCCAATGAAATTGCTCGTGTTTTTACGCCGTCAACTTCATCGTATTCGGGTAGCTCGGCAAGTGAATCTGAGAAACAACGACCTTCTTCATCTTGATGATTATAGAATGTTGTGAACAGTGACAATAGCGATTCTTCAATAGCTTGTTGCACATCTGGCACAGAATCATCGCCATCTCGCAATTGCTGCTTGGTTTGAATACAAATTTGTTGCAGAAGTAAGGCATCTTTATAGATTTGCGAATCAGGCTCATTGTATTTGCATGCATTTTCAAACATCAACATAAAATCGGCTGCAATTTCATCGATGTTATCGTAGAATTGTTGTTTGAGCTTGTGAGCGATTTTCTCCATATCAATCGGATTTTTAATGATGTCATAGTAATCAGGATAGTCCTGTCGATGAAAATAAGTTGAATTGACTGGAAATTAAAATATTTAAATATTAATTGAAACCTACGCTTTTCGATGGCAATTTCATAAAGATCAATGCCAGCTGACGATTGGCTTTTGGTTCACGATAATCACGAATGGCATCGTATAGTTGACGAAGTTTTGTGTCCATCGGTGAGATTTGTTTGCGACCACCTTTGATACTATGAAATAAATGAATATTTTAATTGAGAAAAATGATTACAATCGGTTTTAGTATTCTTCTAACAAAATCTACTTACATTTTCGGTGTCAATCGACGATCATTAATTCCGGAAAATTCTTTGAGTTTTTCATTGAGAGCACGTTCCAAAATGTTTGCATCTTCATAAATTTGCGATCCTTCTTCGTTGTATTTACGACAGTTGGCAAACATCAGACGAAAATCACCGACAACATCATCGAGAGTTCCATATTTATCGGCTTCGATATTCAATCGAATTGTTGTCATGTCGATTGGATGTTGAATGATATCGTAGTAATCAGGGTACTGTCTCTTCGACGGTTTTTCCATGAATAATGTCATTGGTCGTCTTCCATCCAGCTGAAGAATTAAAATGATTATAATTCAAAATTGAATTTTAGAAAGAAAAATGTTTTAAAAAATCAATGATATTACCGTGTATTCTGACAAAAAAACGTTGCAAATTAAGCAATTTTTTCTTGAGCATTGGATTATTGGGGAATTTACACTTTGGACTGTTGCCTGTGTTCATGTTCAATGAATTATTTGAAACATTAAACGAAGATGTTGCTGGTGATGTTGATGTAACCTTTGGTTTTGGTTTCTTTTTGGTAATCGATTGTGTTGATGAATTTGTTGTTGATTCTTCTTCATCATCATCACTGTCCTCATCACCGGATACATCGGCCAATTTCTGATTGAGAACTTTAAGCATTTTAGCTGCATCACGATGTACTTTATGTGTCACTGGGAATGCTTTTTTTGCATTATCAATCATCAAATACAAATCAGTCGTTAAATCTGACATATTTGCATATTCCGCTTTTTTCAACTTGTTTCGAATTTGGGCCATCGAAATTGGTTTTATAATGGTGTAATAATATTCCGGATGGAATCGTCGATTTGGTAGTTTCCACAGCGATTCACCAAGTGGTGCTCCTGAAGCATTAGGATGGTCTGACATCAGTTTTATTTATTTTAAATAAACGCGAATGAAAACACTCAAAAAATAATGAAATAAGGAATATGGAAAGTGAACACAAAACAATCAAGTGCAAGCAGTTAGTTGGACTGAATGATTTCGGATTAAAATGAATACATGCAACTAAATCTTTATATTTATTTGGTTTTGAACACGTTAGTAAAGAGGTTAGTCACAATTTATTAACACACATACCTGATGAATTGGCCGAATTATAGAGTTGATCAAATAATTGCCAGAGTGGACCATCGCCTTCAGTTTCCAAATTGTCTTCATTTTCTTCTTCAGAATCTTCGACGGGCTCTTTCAAAGCAGCAACCATTGCACTCAAACTTTGGCCACGTTTTCGAGTTTTACTTTCGCGTGGTTTGCATTTTCCCGACTCAATCTCGGCTCGTTTAGCGGTGAAAATCTACAAAAACAAAATTCTTATTAGTAAATCATGTCCACAACTCAATTTTTCAGTCGAAAATAATTAGAATTGAACCAAAATCAATTACCTTTTTCAATGTTTTTGCATCTTTATAAATCTGTGAACCAGGCTCATTGAATATGCATGCATTTTTTGTCATTTGCAATAAATCCTTTTCCATGTCGGCTAATGTGATGTAGGCATTGGTTTGAATTTTTGTTGCGATGAATTTCAAATCAATCGGATGCTCGATAATATCATAATAGTCTGGATATTCACGTTTCGATGGCAATAATTGAAACATTAAATTCAATGGACGACTGTTATCATCAGTGGCAGTCATAACTGATGCAAATAATTCTTCATAATTTTCAATATCATCATCAGCTGCTTTGGATGATGTTTCAGATGCATCATCATTGTCAAGTGCCGATTTTCTTGGTCGACCAATCTTTTTCACTTTGTTGCTTGGCTCATCGTCACCAACATTCGACTCAATCAACTTTACTTTATTCTGTTGGTATGTGTCCCACAGCAAACACGCGTCTTGATATTCACTTGAATCCGGATTGTAAAATGCTTTCGAATTATTCACCAACAATTCTAAATCAGTGGTTAATTCTTCAACACTTTCGTACGATTCAGTTTTTAATTTTTGTTGTACTCGTAGCAAATCAATTGGATTGTCAACTACATCGTAGTATGATGGCTCTTGACGGCGTTTTGGTGCACGTACAAATGTGTCACATAGCATTGTACCATCCGGTTTTTTCACGGCACGCAATGAATCGTACAGTTGTTGACACATTTCCATCTGTTACAACAATAACAACATAAATAAATGATTACTGCTATTGATTAATACTTTGGAATTGTTTAGTGAATACATACCGGGTCAAGACGCTTTCGCTTACGCGAAGTGACCGTTGTCGGTGACTGTTCTGCTATGCTTTCCTCCATCGCTTCTTTTGAGTAACAGTTAGTCCGTCACCAGCAAATATCCAATTGAAATGGATGAATATCTAAAATGAAGGAAAAAGTTAAAAAAAAATTGCGGTTGACCAAAATGGTGTTTTGACAAAGAAAAATCTATGCACTTTATGACATTTATTGTAAATCTGTACACTTCACATTGATTTCACTATAAAGAATTGAATTTGGAATAGCTAATACAAAAATATCTTTAAAATTTCTTTCAAATACTCACCAAAACTCGTTTTGATTGCAACACTTTTTTTTTATGCGGAATTTAATGTTTTGAGACGCTCACAAATAATGACGGTGTTTCATTTGACTGAATCGATACGAATCATAGGAGGCGTCGTTTGTAGTACAAACGTCAAGAAAAAAATCTACGTGACACAACATAACCTCAAACATCAAATAAAACTCACGCGATGACAGTTTGTATACACAAAATAACTTAACACTGAGAGACCAAAGTATATAATGCATATGCAGATGTTTAGAACCAGTTTCTGTGGTGACTGCATTAATTAGCATACACCTTGCGATAGAAACAATTCATGTTATTGCTCTTCGCAATTATTACCATACAATGATTACATTTTTATTTATTTTGTCGTTCATTTTCTACTGGTTCGTTCATACCGTTAAAACTTGATTTTTGTTTTTCTATTAGAATAATATTGAAGATAATGTATATTAGGCATTGGCATTTTAACCAGTATTCGCCGTTATGGACACAATCTTGTCACACGTAGCATTTTTTTCTAAATTAGAAATGATAAAGTAGAAGCGGAACAACATTTCGCCGGCCACCGTATCTTACCTCTTTTCCATTCAATTTTGCCAATTACGTTGATTAACTGCATATCTTAAAACAGAAGCAGATGCACCTGTGGAAGGCTATTGGATAAAAGAGAGAGAAAAACACTGCACAACGTACAGATGTTCAATTTTGTTCTTTTTTTCATTCATATTTTCTTTGTATTTGTTTTTTTGTCCGTATAATATCTCACTTACGAAATATAATATATATGAAAACACATTCAACTGCTTTCTTTTTCTCTTAATCTTTAGTTTTAACTTACATATGAAATATGCTCCTCAATATAGAACCTCCTTCTTCTTATTATTCTTTCTTCATCTTAATTTTTTTTTATTTATTTATATACAAAAAACATTTAAATTTTTCTCCAAAAAAAAAATCATTTTCAACGATATTCAATTGTAATTTTTCTTTTGTTTTTGTTGTCATTTAAGTTCCAAATTGTTTAATATCCTTAACAAGTATTCATTCCAATTTATTTTGCTTAACAATTTAACATATTTTCTTTTGTTGTTTAACTTAACAGAAACGATCGCAATGTTTACCAATTTTTGTTTTGTTTGTCGATTGTTTTTCTTTCTCTTTTGTTTATCTCGAATAGTTTTTTTTTATCATTCTTAGAAATAACCATTCCTATGTAAACCCATACACAGTTTCTTATAATACTGCTTCTTCTTCTTCACACTGTCGTACACAATGGGCGCGACCATATTGAAAATGTATACAGTGTATTGCGTGCCATTTGTGAACATTATAACCAATATGGCGACTTATATGTATAGATGTGTTAGTTAAGAAGAAGAAGCAGTCGCACTGCACCGTTCGCATACGGACGGAAATAACTTAACGAATAAAGATGGAAATTAAAAAAAAAAGTGTTCACTGTTTGCATGTGTGAGTGTTTTTGTTGCAAAAAAAAGGGGGAAATTGATTTGAATGCACAAGCTGCCATCACACTGAAATTTCGCATCGCGCTGCCTCTTCATTGAAACGGTAGAACGAGATTGTTTTTTTTTTTTCATTTTCTTCATAAGATACCTGATTTGTCTGTCTGTAAATCATTATAAAAGTCATTCGTCTCTTTTTCTTCTTTTTTTATATCGTTTGGGATAATGACATTGAAAAAAGCTGGTGTATAAGTTTAAGGTCTATATTTCTCTTGCAGCCCAACGCTCTACTGCTATAAAGTACATAATTTTACACATTTTTTTCTTTCATATAAAAAAAAACTCAAAACAAAAAATGAATTGTATGATTGCGTTTGAAACGCGATTTTCAATTAGCACGTTAATTTCAGTGATAATTTACTTTTGAAAATAAATTTGTTCTTTTGTTTTATTCAAATAATCTTTTTTCTATATCGTTTTTTTTTTCATTTAGACAGGTGTATAGCTATTTTTTTTCTTTTCTTTACATTTTAACACCTTATTTTGGTTATCATTAGAATTTGTAGTCAATTTGCGATGTATATTTCCTAAGGAAAATGTGGAGAAAAAAATGGTTGTAAGAAATAGAAAAAAACAATTTAAGCATATCGACTTCAATCTGATTTTTTTTGCATGAATCTCGGGATTGTTCAGTTCATAGTTTTTTTCTTCCATTCACAAAAATGTTTTATGAATAAATATTTGACAATTTTCTATGGAAAATTAAATTTGATGCTCATTTTTGATGTCATTTAAACACAAATCCATTTATTTCTATACTCTATGGTTTGTGATAATACAACGATTTTTTTACTTTTTGAATCCATCGTGTATAATATGCGTTATCTAAATCGAAAATTGTCCATAAGTCCTGTATGAAATATCTACTTTTTTCTGTGTATACTTTATAAATAACTTGTTGTTGTTGATGTTTTTGTTTGTTGTTTGTTTTTTTATTAGGAAATTAATTCTATTTTCTAGTATATTATTGTGTAAATAGTACATTCAATCCATCAATTAAACTGGTCTATGTTTTCTGCTTTTCTTTCTAGGTATTTTTTAAATTCATGTTCATAATTTTTTTTTATTTTGATTTTGGCTTTAGTATCTACTTTAAAAGAGGATCAAAACCTCTGAATTGAAAAAAATGGGAATTTCAAATGTTTTCGGTCAAAATATGCGACGAAGCGTGATTTGTTTTTGTTTTTTTTTTTCGTTATTGTATGCGTCAATATATTTCTAAATGTGGCAAATTCATATCAAATCCAAAAAAAAAGAGGAGAAAAATCAAGATGTAAAAAAAATTTATCAAATGGACACTTGCTTTTTTTCATATCCGTTCAGTATGTATGCTTGTAACATGCAAACCAGTCATTTCATTGAAATTGGTTTGTTTGTTTGTTTTGTAAATTTTCATTTTTGTTTTTTTCTTTGTTTTGTGTATGTATTGGGAGGGCTTAGCGATAGATCGATTACATCAAACACATATAACACTTATTTTCATCGGTTGTGGATTTTAAATAATCATCAGCACGTTTGTGGTCTTGTAATGCTTGAATTGTATCGTTATTGTGTGGTAGTTCGGATTTGGCTCGCAGCATTTTTTGCATAGACTTCCAAACTCAAAAGAGCTCAGGGAAAACAGGGGAATAAAAATAAGTACTTACCAATTGAATGCAGTCCACATTCTTATAAAAAAAAACACTCACTTTAAACGATTTAAAAACGCGAACTAAACACTGAAAGGCAGAGTGTTTAAGGAGAACGGTCGAAAACAAACAGATATTATCTGCTTGAATGCCCGCTCGTACCAGAAACACTCACCAAACTACAAAAAAAAACACAACACTTATCAAAAGCCAGGGTATGCTCAACGTTAGGGGCTTGCATTACCCTCTGACTGAAATAAATCAATTCATTACAAACTGAATCAATCTATTCCAAGCAGGCCGTTTTACCCCCTAGCGGGGAGGTTTTTTATAGAGGCATCCGGCTCTCCTCTTTTAAGTGATATCAATTCCCACTACTTGAGCCCAATGGTCATCTTCTACGCATTGTTTTCCGTACTATTGAACAGCGGAGCCTACCAGTGAATCTCTCATTCGGTTGACATCCGTCTTTAAATGCGCTGCTACCCAAATCCTGGAAAAGCCCTATATATCTACTGTTCCAGCACCCGTTTTCCATCGTTTCAGAATCACAGTGGGCACACGTAGCGGAAATTACTCACTTCATCACCTTCGCAGAAATAACAAAACGAAACGCAAACAAAAAAACCGGAAGAAACGAACAAAAAACGCGCAATCCATTTGTAACCGACCATTCGTCCACTAAAAATACAAGAGAATTGAAGAAGAACCCGCTCAGCGGCACAACTTCAATCAACGAAAGAGAACGCGAATTCCACTACTTGATCATTCTCTACATCTTCAACGCATTGTTTTCCGTACTATTGAACAGCGGAGCCCACCAGTGAATCTCTCATTCGGTTGACATCCGTCTTTAAATGCGCTGCTACCCGAATCCTGAAAAAGCCCTATCTACTGTCCGAGCACTCGTTTTCCATCGTTTTAGGATGACAGAGGAAAAGAACAAGTAGCGGAAAAAAGACATAACAGAAATGGAGAAAAACAAAACGCGAAAAAAACGGAAGATATGAACGGATAGAAGCACTTATTCATATAAAACTACATTCTTCTTCA